AACGGCGGCACGGTTGTCGTCTCACCTGGCCACACCGTGTGTATGTGCGTCTGAGGTCTGCTTGGTCGAGATTCAGGTGCCATAAGCACGTGCNAATATCTTGACATCCTCACGTTTTGGCCCGTTTACGACGCTCTTGCCAAGTTGTTGTCTTCAACGGCGGCACGGTTGTCGTCTCACCTGGCCACACCGTGTGTATGTGCGTCTGAGGTCTGCTTGGTCGAGATTCAGGTGCCATAAGCACGTGCCCACTGTTCGTGCGTAGAAGTAGAAAGTCGAAAAGTAGCCGTTACGTAGGACGCAGCTGGGAAAACTTGAAGGGTATGTGCTGAGAGGCTTTGGATGATAGTGCGGAGTCCCCGTGTTCTCTCGAGAATTGGGGCCTCTCCTCCTTTTCCCTCCCTCCTCTCTCGTGCGAGCTAGTACACACAGTTAAACAGCAGCCCCAAGTCCGCCGGCCCTTAACAGGGCTAGGGCTCACGAACACGCTAGCGTTCGTCCTCCCGGGAGGATCCGCAAGACGGTGCGGGCTATGCCAAGCGAGAGGCAGCGGGGTTCCAGCAGCCAGGGTATGCAACTCTGAACTGGACGCTTTCTGACTGGAACGGAGCAGTAACTGAACGAGTAGAGATGACAGAGGTGCAGGAGATGATGGGCATGCTGCCATCGCTACTGCAGGCCGAGTCGGAAGGGCAAGGCCAGGAGGGGTCGGCGGCGCTGCAAGAGGGCGCCGCGGGTGCGGCGGAATTGGGGGTTTCGCCTAGCAGCCACCGAGAGCTGTGTCCTGCGGTGGTCGTCAGGGAGGGCGACACTGCTGGAGGAGAGAGCAGCAGTAGGCCGGGCGTGGAAGGCGCCCTGGTGCGGGATGTGGAGGTCCCTGCTGCAGGTGGGTTTGGTGCATTCCAAGACACCAACTCTCTTCGTAGTACGTTCGGCAGTGCTTGCGCACAGCAGTCTGCTGCCGCTGGAGACACTGGTGAGAGTGTCACAGCAACCGATCAATCCATTCAGGGGAGGTCGGGTGGAGAATGCGG